GGTTTCACATTTAAGTGTTTGATCCATCTGGAGTTTGTTTTTGTGTATGGTGTGAGGTACAAATCTTGTTTCATTTTTCAAAAAAGCAGAAAGAAGTCTCTTGTGGCTACCAGCCTGCCAGTCATTCTTGACCCCCTGAAGCCATATTAGAAAGTGTGGCCCTTCCTCCAATGTGAGTACTAAAAACTCTTAGGGAAACGAGGATGGAGATACCAGTGAGTGTACCTACCTATCAGTTAATTTGTATTTATCTATAGCAGTCATTTCCAAACATGGCTACTCATCAGAACAACCTGGGGGCTTCCTTCTAAAAAATACAGATCCCAGTGTCTAACCTGTCTTACCTCAGATTTACAGAAGCAGATTCTCCATGAGTGGGGACTTGGAATCTATATCTTTAAACATCCCCTATGGTTATCAGGATGAGCAACCCAGTTTGAAACTCATCTGGTATAGAAGATGGGGAGAACTGAAGAACCTTTGTTGACCAGCCTTTGTGCTAGTGCTGAGCTTACTGGGTGCTGTCCAGGGTGCTGGATTGCTTAAGTCTAAATCCTCTCTGGTACTTAGACCTGAAACCTTCTGTACCCTCAGACTCCCTTTACCACTGCTCTATGTAATCTACCTAATACCATCTATTCTGGCTTACTGCTCTGACCTGCCTTCACCCAGCACTATGAAGATCCTCTCCTGGAAGAACAGTTCTCTGACCTGTGCTTAATAGCTTGTTCTGACACACCTATAATTTAGCAAATCCTCCAAAGGGAAGGGAAGATGTCAAGCACTCCAAGCCCAATCCATTCTCAAATGGAGACCAGAGCCTTCCTATGGTTGCTTCCCCTACTAATCAGAAAGAAATCTTCCTGGAGGCAACTTCAGGGCATAAAAATTCCAAGGTATAGGACAAGGTCCCTGCCCCCATTCCCAGAGGTAAAGTGTTTTATTGACCTGCACAAGATTCTGGATGAAGCTAGATTTATTACTTTACTATTAAATTTAGACTCATAAATATTGAACTGAGACCCCAATTCTCTAATTGGGTGTGGTAGTTAAATTTGTATGTCAACTTGGCTGGGCCTGGTTGAGTGGCTGGGCAGCTGGGGGTAGTTATTCCCCATGATGAGACTGGCAAT